ATTCACAAAAAAGGCTTATAAATTTATGAAATTAAAATGTTATCGATTTTCATATATTTTTGAAAGATTTTCACATATTTTTGATGTTGTATACTGAGATACAGTTACTATTGTTATTGTGAACAATATAAATGCCTAAAATACTTAAATTTTCTTAAATAGGAATTAAATAGTACCGGAAAAAAATTAAAATTCATTTTCTGATTTGTTTACGTTTTGGACATAGGCCCATTTCAAATGTTACTGTAGAAATCAAGCGTACTTAAGCGCACTCTAAAAAATCTTCACGTTAATGCTACGTGAAAAATCACGTAGCCTCTTTAACACCTCACTTCGATAATTTGCACGTGACTCACGTCAAAGTCAAATTAAATTTTGATAAAATTTACGTGATTTTCATGTTCGTTGATGCTAAGGGAATTTCACGTAAAACGTAAGTGATAATCATGAACACTCTACAACATATACACGTCCAATCTACGTGAAAAATCACGTAGCTCATTCGAATGCTTCAACTTTCATATTTACATAATGGTAGTAAAATTGATAAACATATCATGTCATGTTCACTGGACCTGATGATGAATGTGACAACATTTTCACATCAAACTTCTATGTGCGGTAGTGTGATTGTGGTGTGCTTACGTAAAATGAGTTTACATGATTTACATGTATGAAAAAGTGAAACAATATGGCCGCATCGATTTTATTAGGGGAAGAAGTGATTCAGCATACTGCAACTGTTTGAAGGTATTTTATATTATTTAGCTTTATTTGAAATCCGTCATACACTGCTAATTAAATTTATTCCGATTTCAGAGGCTGGATTACAAATACAATTTACGGGGATTTTTCCAAAGGTCAATTTAGCCTGACTCGGCGGTAAACAGCGCAAACGGATATTGCATCTGAATCGAGATCTGAGTTGTCATGATCAACTATGTGTTGGAAAAGCGAAATGGTTTGTATTAACGTAACAATGACATACTTGACGCATTAATAAAAAATGCTAACAATGTTTAAATATTCTTTTCTTGGGAAAAATGGAAAACAGTATTTGTTAGATCCGGTAAAGATCACTTCAAAATCACGTCGACATTACGTGCAAATCCATTCCAATTTTGTGGAAACCGCGGAACGTAAACGTAAGATGAACAGTATTATCCAGTAAATATCATTTCAAAATCACGTAAACATTACGTGATAACCACTTCCAACTTAAGTGGAAATCACGTTATATTTACCTTACTGTTCACGTTGACCGCTGAATGGGAATATGTTTGGCTACCTGGTATTAACGTAAATGTTACGTGAAAAGTAGTATGGACGAAAGCTACCTATGTTTTCACGTAGATCGGACGTGCATATTTTTTGGAGTGCGGTTCAAATCCATGAAATTTTAGAAAATAACGGCACATGCGGCTTTTTTTTTTGCTGAATGAGTCAAATGAATATTAAGTACAAACCTATTTCGTTCGACAAATCAAACCTCAAATTATGATTACATAATGTCGAAAAAGTGTGAACGCATCCGGAAATTGCATCCGACAAAATTATCGATCAGTCCGCTCGAATCAGACCAAACGTCCAAACGTACCTTCACCTACACCTTCCAGAACTTCGAGCTCTGCAGTTCCAGCATTAACCGTAGCACATGAGATGAGTCACTTTAGATCAGCACGAGCCTCGCGCACGGATGGATGGGTATGGCATTTGTTTCTCGTTCGTATTTTATTTTCACGTGTCTCCTTCTCGCTTGGCAAATGTTGCTTTCGTTGCGACGGGCGACTGTTTGATGAGATTCTCGGCAGCACAGTTTTGTACTCACGTTGAGGTTGTAAGCTGAAGAAGCTAGAAGAAGACTTTCTTTCTCTTTGTCCTTATCGTGAAAGGTATTTAAGGGAAACTCTAAGCTAAGCCTGTCCTAAGAATAATAATTAACCTTTTTACTCAACGAACACCTAGAACACGACTGATCTGTTCTAAATTTCATTGCAATTAATTAAACCAAGCTTAAGATGATTACATCATGAATAATGTGGCTAGTTTTCGCCTGAGTTTATTTATCTATCGAAAGCCCGCTGGTTCCGCTCATTTAACATGTCCACAACACGCTAACCCACTACTAATGCAAACGTGTATCTTCTACTGCTTCTTCGCTACATAGTCTGCTGGGTGTGGCGATCGCACAGTTGAAATCTCGTTCCACTAATTAATAGAATCATTGTACAATATCACATACATAAGTAGTATGCACCATCATCAGATGCATACTTTATGTCACACTCTAAAGGGGGGAAGGGACAACCAATGCATAAGGTATAGGAAAAACGTGACCTTCAAATCGATCCGGCTTTTTGAATCGCTCCGACGACAACGTGATTCATCAAATGGGCGAGCTGCAATTCTTGTACTAATTTGAACAAAGGAACCTGCGAATTATGTAATGAAAAATTGCCTTTCGTCACGGATTGGATTGTGTGTTTAATTCGGTCCACAACGCCATTTTGGAGAACGCAAAACTAGGCATATCATAATTGTGTGGCGATCGCACAGATGAATTAATCTCGTTTCACTATTTAATAGAATCATTATGAAATATCGCATATCTAGGCAGCATGTACCTAATTCGAACAAACATCAAAAACAGTGCACGGAATCATCAAATTGCAATGAACTATAGTTGTGACCTTCAAACCGATCCATTTTTTTTTTAATCGGTGCGACCACCACGTGCATTGAAACAAAGGAAACGGTGAATGACGTAATAGTCACGCATTGAATTCCTAGGTCCATAACTTTCCCTTGGAGAACAAAAAAATAGGCAAATTCGCTGCTGGGTGTGGCGATCGCACAGAAGAATTAATCTCGTTTCACCATTTAATAGAGTCATTGTGAATCGGTGACTTGTCAAATGGGAGAGCTGCAATTCTTGTTCTAATTTGAACAAAGAAAACTGTGAATTATGTAATGAAAAATTGCCTTTCGTGACGCATTGGATTGTGTGTTTAATCAGGTCCATGAAGCCATTTTGGAGAACGCAAAAATAGGCATATCATACTTGTGTGGCGATCCAACAGATGAGTTAATCTCGTGTCACTATTTAATAGAATTATTATGAAACATCGCATACCTAGGTAGTATGTTTCTGATTCGAACAAACGTCCAAAACAGTGCACGGAATCATCAAATTGCAATGAACTGTAGTTGTGACCATCAAACCGATCAATTTTTTTTTGAATCGGTGCGACCACCACGTGTTTCATCAAATGGGGAAGATGCAATTTTTGTGCTGATTTGAAACAAAGGAAACGGTGAATGACGTAATAGTCACGCATTGAACTGTTAGGTCCATAACATAATTTCCCTTGGAGAACAAAAAAATAGGCAAATTCGCTGCTGGGTGTGGCGATCGCACAGGAGAATTAATCTCGTTTACCATTTAATAGAATCATTGTGAATCGGTGACTCATCAAATGAACGAGCTGCAATTCTTGTTCTAATTTGAACAAAGAAAACTGTGAATTATGTAATGAAAAATTGCCTTTCGTGACGCATTGGATTGTGTGTTTAATTAGGTCCATAATGCCATTTTGGAGAACGCAAAAATAGGCCTATCATACTTGTGTGGCGATCGCACAGATGAATTAATATCGTGTCACTATTTAATAGAATCATTATGCAATATCTAGGCAGCATGTACCTAATTCGAACAAACGTCAAAAATAGTGCACGGAATCATCAAATTGCAATAAACTGCGACCACCACGTGCTTCATCAAATGGTGGGGGGGGGGGGGGGGGAAGATGCAATTTTTGGTCTAATTTGAAAAAAAGGAAACGGTGAATGACGTAATAGTCACGCATTGAAATGCTGGGTCCATAGCATAATTTCCCTTGGAGAACGCAAAAATAGGCAAATTCGCTGCATAGTCTGCTGGGTGTGGCGATCGCACAGATGAATTAATCTCGTGTCACTATTTAATAGAATCATTGTAAAATATTACATACGTTAGTAGTATGCACCTAAGGGGTGATGCTTATATTATGCCACGTTCCAAGGGGGATGGGGCGTTGAGGAGTTTGTGACAAGCAATGCATTAGGTATAGGAAAAACGCGACGAAAGGGGGGAGGGTGTGTCAATTTTTCCTCAATTTAGCGTAAAATAATAAACGGATCGCCCCTAATTCGAACGAACGCCAAAAACACTGCACGGAATCATCAAATTGCAGTTGCAGAATTACAGTTGTGACCTTCAAAGCGATCCGACTTTCTGAATCGCTCCGACAACAACGTGCTTCATCAAATGGGGAAGATGCACTTCTTGTGCTAATTTGAACAAAGGAAACTGTGAATGACGGAATGAAAAATTGCCTACTATGTGTCAGGTTTTCATCATTGAATGAATTTTTCATGATAGATTGTATTCTATTTCACCAATAAATCAAACACTAGATTCTTTTAACAAGGCAATGTTCTTCGATCATTTCGATCGAAGTTAATTAGATATTACACAAATCCATCCATCACATCGAGTTTTCGAAATCAAACTTCAATTTCATTCCCCTGTACTTTTTTCTTTCCTTTATTTAACGTCGGTCTCTGTTCCGCAATCTACTGCCAATCACCGACGGACATCGATTGCCATCCATTGGCGGCAATCGAATGTGCAAGGAAGGCAGCTTTCCACACCTGCGTAGGATATCGCACCCATTCAAACACCATGGGCCGGGACCAACGGCTTTACTTCCCTTCCGAAGGAAGACGTGACCAGAGATTTTTATGCCTCAGAAAAATCCCACCGACCTCGGCTGGGATTGAACCCAGACCCATCGGGGTGTTATAAGAAAGCAGTCACGCTTACCACTACACCACCGGCGCCGGTCCCATTCCCCTGTACGACGACCAAAAAAAAAAAACAAACACTGATAAGGAGGAAAGCTTGTACGCTAGTGACGTAGTAAACAAAGCTAAATCCAAAAAGTGGCAACAGTACTTACATCCAAATTGTACGTCCTGCGAACTTCTTGGAACGAGTTCCAGGATTTTTCCTCCGTCGCCGCATCGATGTTCAGCTGCCCGCAGATGTCCCGATGGTCAGCCCGAAGTTTTTCACCTTCACTCATGTTCGTCATGTTTCACGCCCTTCTTCCCTTCTATACACTACTCTTCAAACACTGGCTGGAAGATAAATTTCAAAACCATTCACCACGGAACCCGTTTTTCCCGTGGCCGCACAATCCCAAGCACCAGGAATTAAATTTAAAAAACCACTCGCGCGGAACCGGTTCGCAAATCCGACCAACTCCAGGGCAGCCTGTCACGGTCGGACACTCGGAGATGCGATGAAAACCTCTACGCCGTAGGATCCGGTGCCATCAAACTTTTGACGATGAATGCGGCAGCGGGTTTGCTCACAGTAGTTTTATGCGCGATGATGCCGAACCGACCAACATATTTTATGGAGAAGAACACCAAGAACAAGCACCACGCACCTTTGACAGCTAACCGAGCGCCAGAAAAAAAACAAGAGGCGGGAAACGGTGCGGCCAAGTGAGGATTATTTAATTATTTTCAGTAGGAAAATCAGACCGGTTTATAATTCAAACGTTTATCTCACACCATTAATGATACAATTTACGGCTAGTACTTTAAATTGATAAAAAAACTAATCTATTCGTCAAACCGACTCAAATGTTACGTTATAAAACTGAGAAACTCTTCACCAACTTCACAATCGAACGCACCGTCCCGAGTGAAAAATAAAAACATCACCGCACTCACGGCCCCGTCGGATGACGGGTGTGAAACGGGTGGAAATCGACAGGGCGGGCGACATGCGAAACGTCATTCGTCCGAAAGCGATAGGCGGCGGGCTGATGGGTGCGGTAGAAAAAAGCGCGAAAATCTCTTACAATTGGCGGGAAAATCTCGGCGTCGTTCAATTTTCCGATCCAATCGGTCACTTGCACTATTGTGAGCGAAATTCCGAGTAGCACGTACCTTGTGCGGGCGAGAAACCTGCCTTACGCGTCAACAAAATGGGGCTGTGGTCTTATCAGGAAGTGAAAATTGCACGAATCGAATATTCCGAAGACGGAGAAGTGGTGGGTGGGTAGCTCGAACATATAAAATTTTCACCTGAGCGGGTGGGTGTTAGGCAGCAGGTGGGTGGGGGAGGTATGCGAATACTCCTGACGTCTCGGTGGATTGTCGTCGCTGTCAAATCGCAGGGGTGTGCTGGAGCATGAAATTTGCCCGCCTATACTACGACGGGGGGTGCTTTATTTTGGAGAAAAAAAAATGCGCTATCATCGGATGATTTGGATGATGGAAGTGAAAATATAGCCTGAAATAAATGCTTATGGGGAACGATATAAAATATTATAAGGACCAAATAAATTTCATCTAAAACATTGCGGTTGAAACGATAAATTCGAATACGCCTTTTTAATGCACCACCAACGTAGAGTGCGCCACGCGAGTTCGAGAAGAAACGTCAACCAAACAGTTTGTTTACATCAGAATAAGAATTTTCCCCAACGCAAATAACAGCATTTTTCATTCAAAATCTTGCCAATTTCCATCGGTAATTGTCTTCTTGTACGATTTTCCACAAATCTGAAATGATTTGCACCTTAACTATTCACACACAAGAAATCCGGAAGATCATAACCACTAAGGCACTTTTCTAACTATCCATTTTTCTCAACAAAAATATTCCTGAACACAGGATCTTTTCAAAAACGTTACAGAATTAAATTTTTCAACTGTAGATTAAGTTTTGCAGCATCTCAGATTAATCAATTGATCAGGAAACGTAAAAAAGTGTTCCGCTTCGTCTCAAGGCAAACAATAATTATGCTCACAACACTCTTTTTGACGTTCTCCTATTCACCACCAGAGGTTGAATCGATCGTTTAGTTTCTATTAAAAAGGCCTATAGGGCTGCAGTTGTTTCGACCGCAATGGACTGCACTGAAAAAAAACTTGACTTTTATTTAAGATTTGGATTTATTTTTAATAATGCGTTTATTTTTCCAGGCTCAATTGCTGTAGCTTTGCGGAGCCGATGTTCCTTGTTAAGATAACAAAATTACTTAAAACTAACGTTAGTAAAGCGGAAGCCGATCACTCGCGGCTATCTCGAGGTTAGGGGTAACAAATTGTAACAAATGGATGGCAGGGTAGGGATTGAGAACACCTCGGAGAACACAAGGTTTGGAGAGCAATGTGCTCTTGATCTCGAACTAAGCGACACTCTGATGAAAAAGATAAACATGGGAGTACACCGATGGGCAGCTAACAACTAACAAGATGACACTAACTACTAAATCCTCAGATCTATCTGTTTTAAAACACATACATTAAATTCAAATTGTCGAAATCTCCGCTAGCCAAGACATCTCTAACGGGTATCGTGGGTTGTTTTCCTGGGGCCCTGAGGGATGTGGATAACTCAGATCTGATCGGTGTAGGATACATGACCAAACAACATGCTCCAGACGGTTGCATTTTTGAATAAACACCAAAAGTTTGTTTTGCCGGTGTGGAAAACGGTAACTTAAATTATGACTCTGATAGCAACGACCGGTGTGGAGAGGAGTGATTAAGCCAAAATGGAAACGCTGTGCGTAAGAGCAACCGTACCAGTCGTTGCCATTTGCGGCACTATTTTACTTACGCACAGCGTTTCCATTTTGGCTTAATCACTCCTCTCCACACCGGTCGTTGCTATCAGAGTCATAATTTAAGTTACCGTTTTCCACACCGGCAAAACAATCTTTTGGCGTTTATTCAAAATAGCAACCGTCTGATGCGTTGCGGGTTGCTAAATGTATGAACTCACTACACACAAAGAAAAATCGTTGCTAAAATTAAAAAAAAAACCATTGGTAGAATTAAAAGTTTGCGTTGGTTCTTTTTGGTAGAAAGCGTTTTGCTTTCAAAATAAAAGTCAGCCAACTGTCAAGTCAAAAGTTTCGCAGCCACAACTTTTAAAAGTTAAAACTTTTAAAATGAATTGTACTACTGTCAAACGAAAAGCATGGCAGTGTTGAAATTAAAAGCGAATTCAAATCAAACTCTTGAAATGAAAGTGTTGTACAGTTGACATAATATGTGTCATTTTGAATTGAAGAATCGAATATTTTCAATTTAAAAACAAATATTTTTACTTTCAATTTTATTGAATATTAAATAAAAAATTTGTATTATTAGATATAAAGGGTCAAAACTATATCTATTATATATTTTGAACAACAATACAACAACCGTTTACGCGCGATCCACAAAAATATCTGTCTCAATTGAAAATCCTGGTCCTGAACACCATCACCTCCACTAATAAAAAATAACCATAAACGAACGATAACCCAAATCATCGAATTATTCAACAAATGGTTTGGATGATACTCAGAACACGTCGTTAAGCAAATTAACCATACAATTTTTATTAGGGTCATCCATCATATCCCGTCTGATGCGGTCTAGTCGTTCCTCTGCAACTATGAAGCTACCCGTTTCTTTATCTTCTCGATGGACCTTTTGACCAATGACTCCTCCACCGGTGGATATCCAATCCCTGTATGTGATGCGGTTCCAGCTGGGAGAGACTTTTATCGTCGTTCTTCAAGCTACGATAGTAAAATTTGATTTCCTCCAATCACATCTTTTGACCGGTGACCAGATAATCTTGGAAAAACCGAGGGAAAAACAGGTAAAAGTCTATATCGTAATCCTGAACCAAGTCAGTACCTCGTTGCAGATGGAAAGGCTGTTGATGGGGCTACGTTAGTGTCCGATACCAGCGAAACTTTCGATGATTTCCTGCCACTTGGGTTACAACGATGAATTACACGATAGGTACCGGTTCAATCCCGGTTTCATTTTTGGAATGATCTTCGCCGTGTTGGTATTGATCCCAACAGTGTCGTTGAACCGAGACAAACACTATAGGTGACCTGAAAAGCAATCGATTATTTAGTTATTTTACACTATTATCAATCTTACCTTTTATGAAGTCACCAACGGAAACAATCTTGCAACTTTCATTCTTTGTCAAATTAGTTTTTTTTTTTCATATTAACTCAAGGAGAGATACTGGAATCGAATCCCGTCAAGGTTCCTGTCAAGGATCTGGCTGAGGACGGGGGCTTCCGTTGCATTGTATTCCATCTTCTTTTTTCTGCTCACTTTGAAAACTCAAAAATTTGGGCGTGTAGATAACACTATATGCCCTGTTGGCTTTTTTTTACGATGGTTTTGGATTTGCTGCCAAGAGGTATTTTTGACAGTAAAACAATTTGGTTTTGAAAATAGGCGCTTTTAAAATTACGAGTTGATAATGAAAGAAACACTTTCAAACCATTACATTTTACATTGCTTTCATTTTGAATATTTTCATGGTTAAAACTACGAAATAAGGGAAACTTTCAATTTGAAAACGAATAATTTTTAAATACACAATTTTCGTTTTTTGTGTGTACTTCCCAACGTGCGGATTGCTATTTTCCCAGGGGGAACGACACTTCAAGATTATCCCATTTTTACCCAAAACTCTCATAAAATTTTCAACCTGCACAAAATTTAAATCCATCACATCTATTCTTTCTATTCCCAACTAATCCCTTCTGCATGTACACAAATTATCAAGCAAGCCGTGCAGCTTCTCGCAGTTTTTAGGACGACCGCAAAGCACTCTGCCATAATCGCTGTCAGTTTCAACAATCTCATTCAAATAAACGATGGACCACTCGTTCATAATCGGTCACAAGGACAATAGCATCAAGCGCATCAGGAGACGGCATGGAAGCATGGGCTTAAAACCATTGAATCCGACGGAGAAGAGCAACCAGGTGTCGGTGTATAGTAGCTTGGAAGGTGCCAAACTGCTGATCCTAGCCAAGGTTGCAAAGACTCATTTCAGCTAAAATAATGTTTTTCGGAATAATAAAACCGAAAGATGGTATGATGGCATGTTTTACTTGTAACTTACAAGAAGAGGTTACAAAGTATGCGTTGGAAACATAAAACCTGTAAATTTTGCTTTCTATGAGTCACAATCAGCGATTTGCTGATCGCTGAGTGAGTGAGTGAGTGAGTGAGTGAGTTTGTGAAAAATCGCTGATTGTGACTCTCATGAATTGAAATAAACAGGTTTAATATGTCAAACACATTCTTTGCAACCTCTTCTTGTATCCTACCAATTCAAAATTCGATCATGGCATCTAATTATTTCATAATTTAGAAAAACATTGTTTTAGCTGAAATGAGTCTTTGCAACCTTGATCCTAGCCCCGGGAAAAGCCTCCCCGGACAATGGAACCGCCTTCATCGAACAGGTGGAATAAGAATTCATTTTTTCTACTCGGCCCAAGTTGTACTCTTGGCTGGGGTTGGTCATGATATGGGGGAAGGAAGCCACCCGCTGGCTGATGGAATTTCTGTGCGTGAATTTAGCGAATCGAATTCCCGTCCAAAGAGAGCTGGAATATTAACCGGAAC